CAACAGCAGCAGCAGCAGCAGCAGCAGCAGCAGCAGCAACAGCAGCAGCAGCAGCAGCGGCCTCTGTTGCTGCCGCTGCAGCAGCGAGGGCGTCGCAACTTTTTTAATAATTTCTGCAGTCCAGATGTCTTTGATGAAGTTCAAATAAAATTAATCGATGCGAGAGGCTCTGACCTCCTTGCACCTGCTATACAAATGCTCAGTGAGAAGCCTGCTGCTGCTGCTGCTGCTGCTGCTGCTGCTGCTGCTGCTGCTGTTGCTGCTGGTGATGGTGGTGGTACCGGTGGTGTGGGTGGTGCTGTGTTGCTGTTGCTGCTGTTGCTGCCGGCGTTTTTGCTGTTGTCTCTACTGCTGCTGCTACTGTTGTGCTGCTGCTGTTGTTGTTGCTGCTGCTGCTGCTGCTCTGCTGCTGCTTCTGAGCGGCTGCTGGTGGCGCAGGTTTGGGTTTGTGCTGCTGGTTTTAGAGCCGCATTAGTTACAAGTGCAGCAGCAGCAGCTGCAGCAGCTGCACGAACACTGACAGCAACAGCAGCCTAAGCAACAACAGCAACAGCAGCAGCAACAGCATCTGCAGCACCAAACACCACTAGCAGCAGCATCAGCAGCAGGAACAGCACCAGGAGAAGCTGCAGCACGAACACATGCATCCCCCACACTACCGAAGCAACAACGACAGCAGCAGCACCACCACCACCACCACAACTAGCAGCAGCAGCACCAGCAGCACCAGCAGCACCAGCAGCAGCACCAGCAGCAGCAGCAGCAGCAGCAGGTGTGTTTGTTTGTGCATCAGAGACACTGGTGCAGCAGCGCTTTGTTGGAGACATTTGGATTCATGAGTTAGCCGGGCCCCTTCGTTTTTCTTTTGTTGTCGTCTTAAGGGGGCTGCTACGAACAAAAGGTGTTAGACGCATGTCAGTGTGGGGTCTCGGGTGTATAGGCAGCTCTGCTGCTGCTGCTGCTGAGGATGATGATGATGAAGTTGATGCTAATGCCGTGCTGCTGTTGCTGCTGCTGCTGCAGTGATGGTGCTGCTGCTGCTGATGTTGCTGTTGAGGTTGCTGCTGGTGTTCTGGTGGTGCTGCTGCTGCTGCTGTTGCTGCTGCCTTGCTGCTGCTGCTGCAAGGAAGGGTTTGCTGCCGCATCCAGCAGCTGTCAGCGGTTGTTTCTGTCTCTTCTTTTGCTGCTGTTGCTGCAGCTCTTTGCTGAGAGAGACGCTTCTTGTCTCGTCGTACATCGCTGAGCTTCCCTTACCTTTCGTCAGTTCTTTACATCTCTTGTCCCCACCTCTAGGGTTTAGGGTTTAGGGTTTAGGGCCTATAGTTTAGGGTTTTACGTCTAAGGTTTCAGGTCTAGGGTTTAGGGTTTAGGGCCTAGCTAGCTCGTAGGGTTTACGGTTT